AAATAAATATAAAGTAAGTACAAAAAGGCAGGAGACAGCCAAAACCGGTTTGGCTCAGTGGATAGAGCATCGGCCTGTGGACTGAAAGGTCCCAGGTTCAATTCTGGTCAAGGGCATTTACCTTGGTTGCAGGCACATCCCCAGTAGGGGGTGTGCAAGAGGCAGCAGATTGATGATTCTCTCTCATCGATGTTTCTAACTCTCTATCCCTCTCTCTTCCTCTCTGTAAAAAATCAATAAAATATAGATTATAAAAAAAAAAAAAAGGCAGGAAACAAATCTTCCCTGAAACCTCACCTTACTAGGTCACTGGAAATCTAAAAAGATATAATGTATTTAGAGATTAAATGATAAAAAACAGAATTGATTTTAAACATTTTCAACAAAAATGTTAACGTCCTACATGTTTCTTTTATTATTTATTATTTATTATTAATTATTATTATTATTATTGACTAGAGGTCTGGTGCACTAATTTGTGCATGGGTGGGGGTCCCTTGGCCTGGCCAGTGATCAGGGCCATTGGTGGTGCTGGCTGGCTGGAGTGAGAGGCTGTTGGAGGTTGGCCAATCGGTCAGAGGTCAGAGGGAGGAACCGCCAGAGGTGGGTGGGCCGGGGGAAGGGACTGCAGGAGGTTGGCCGGCAGCTGTGGGAGGCTGGCTGTGGTAGCACACTGACCACAGGGGGCCGCTCTTGCATTGAGTGTCTACCCCGGGTGGTCAGTGTGCATCAGCAACCAATGGGTCAGTCATTTGGTTGCTTAGGCTTTTATCTCACTACATAAAATCCTAATGTGCAAATAGACCGAACGGTGGAACAATCAGACGAGTCACTATGATATACGGTGACCACCAGGGGGTGTGCGTGGAACATGGCGGGTGTTGGCAGCAGATGGCAGAGCACAGAATATAGTGGCCATTGGCCGTGGCAGGATGGTGCAGGTAAGAGGAGGTGCCAGACTAAGGCGGGGTGCTGGTCACTGTTTTCAGGGGGAGCCTCTGGTGGTTACTGAAAATTCTTTGCTCCAGCACACTGTGGTGGTCCCGCCCAGCGCTCGCACCCTCTGCCAGTGCCGGTACTGCCGCTTGCACCTGCTGCCAGTGCCTGGTGCCAGTCCCAATTGCTTGGTGCTACCGGTGGATGCAAGCAGAGGCTGCTGGCCCTGATCGCCCCTGAGGGCTTCTCCACCTCCCCCTGCTCCTAAGGGGTGATCAGGGCAGCAGCCGCCACTTAAACCCACTGCTGACACCAGCTCCAATCACTCTGCGCCATCAGCAGGTGAGTGGTGGCAGCAGGAGCGGGACTTCCGGCAGACAGGGGACCAGGGCCCGCAGAAGGAGGGGAAGGATGGGAACATGGAGGATGGGCTGAGACCTGCCCCTGTGCCCACCACAGCCCCCAGTTCCTTTCAAGGTGCCCCTAGTATCCTATATAATAAAAGCCCAGCGACCAAACAGCGAAATGACCAGAACGACCAGTCAACCAGTCGTTATGATGCACGCCGACCACCAAGTGGCAGACACACAATGCAGGAGCTGCCTCATGGTGGTCAGTGTGCTCCCACAGTGAACTCCAGGCTGACAGACAGGAACCTGGACTACCATTGTCACCTCCTCACCCCAGGCTCCTCTTCCTCGCTCCCTGCCACCTCCTTCAGATGCCCACAGGCCATGCAGGCCTACCCCCGGGCTCACAGAATTGACCTCAGAGGCTGGGAGGCAGGTTTGTGGCTGCTGTGGGACTTAGGCCTATTCCACCACCTCTCAGTCCTGTTGTCACTGAGCCTGGCCTCAACTGGATCCCCTGGAGAGGCCAGTGCTCCGGCTCCACAGAAGGTGCCGGACCAGGGAGCAGCCACTCAGAGGGTGGGTCCGCAGCCACGGGGCTCCCACAGCAGGCTGATCCCCGCAGGCCACGCCACCAGTGCACAAATCCCATGTTCTAGTAGTATATAGAAATATAGAGATTTTATAGAGAGAGGAAGAGGGAGAGAGAGTGAGAGTGAGAGCGAGAGCGAGAGTGAAAGAGAGAGAGAGAGAGAGAGAGCGAGTGCATCAACTTGTTGTTCTACTTAATTATGAATTCATTAGTTGATTCTTGTATTCTTGTATGTACCAGTCAGGGGATCGAACCCTCAACCTTGGCATATGGGGATGACACTCTAACCAACGGAGCTATCCTGCAGAGCTGTTTCATTATATTCTTAGTCAGATTCATCAAACATAATTCAAATTTTGGGATAGCTTGGTATCTTTACTTTTATCAATAGATAGTGTCATGTTCCTGTGACATTTATAAGCCTCCATGAACTAGAACTTGCTTTCTGAAAACCGTCTTTTGGAGGCCTTTTCCCCCCTTTCCTGAAAAATTAAGTGAAGCACAGTACACCGATAGGCCTGTAAGAGAAGTGCTCATCGGCCACCTTCCTTCATGACTGTTCAGGAAGGAAGGGAGACCTGGTCTTCTTAGCCTAGAAGGGAGAGATTAGTCATGAGCTGCATACGGATGTTCTGGTCTGCGACAGGCCAAACATAAGACAGTGGTCCCATCAGATTATGAGCTACCCTTTCCTGTGGCCTAGTGATGGGGGAGTGCAGCACATCACCCACGTGTTTGTGGTGATGCTGCGCTCAACACATCTACGGTGCTGCCAGTGGTGTGAAGGCACAGCACACACATTTACATACGGTACATAGTGCTAGATAATGGCCTACAACTCTGATCCTGGTCTATATATTTACAATGCTATACTTTCTTTTCTTTTTTTAAAAAAAAAATATATTTTATTGATTTTTTACAGAGAGGAAGGGAGAGAGATAGAGAGCTAGAAATGTCGATGAGAGCGAAACATCGACCAGCTGCCTCTTGCACACCCCCTACCGGGGATGTGCCTGCAACCAACGTACATCCCCCTGACCGGAATCGAACCTGGGACCTTTCAGTCCGCAGACCAACGCTCTACCACTGAGCTAAACCGGTTTTGGCTCTTTTTTTTTTTTTTTTTTTTTTTAATATACTTTATTGATTTTTTACAGAGAGGAAGGGAGAGGGATAGAATTAGAAACATCGATGAGAAAGAAACACCTATCAGCTACCTCCTGCACACTCCATACTGGGGATATACCCGCAACCAAGGTACATACCCTTGACCGGAATCGAACCTGGGACCTCCCAGTCCGAAGGCCAATGCTCTATCCACTGAGCCAAGCAGGTCAGGGCTATACTTTCTTATCATTATTTCAGAGTGGGCTCTTTCTACTTCTTAGAAGATGTTTGCTGTAAAACTGTATCCGTTTTATGCTGGCAGCAGCCGCAGCCCCATACATTTGTGCTTTTAAAAAGTTTATTCATTGACTGATTAGTGTGTGTGAGAGAGACATCGATTTGTTGTTCTGTCTCCATTGTATCCCTGCCTCTTGTGGCTCATTTAACGTGTGTAGTAGTTTTGTACAGTCCCCTGCTGTACAGGCTTGTAGCCTAGAAGCCGTAGGCCACACCATGGAGCCTGGGTGTGCAGTAGGCTGTTCCATCTAGGTTTGCGTACATGCTCTCTATGGTGTCCACACAATGATGAAACCGTCTAACAACGCAGTTCTCAGCATGTGTCCCCGTATTTAAGCGGTGCATGACTGTACATACCAGAAGGCAACCCGAAGCTCTGAGCAGATTTCCCGCCCCTGTACAACAGCCCTATCCCACAGAAATATAATGGAATTCTAAATTTTCCATAACATTCTCATTTCAACGTGCAATCTATATAAAATGAAATAGTGTACACTCTTTTCCTTTCGTACAATGTCTTACACCCAGTGCACATTTTGCACTTAGATCAGACCTGAACCTGGACTGGCCCCATTTCAGGCGGCCACCGCCTGCCACCAGGGCCAACCCCAGAGAGAAAAAAAACCTCGCCCCCTGCCTAAGTGACCTGCACAACTGCCCACCTATGCCTTCTACCGAGCCTCATTCGTACCCTCGGTTCACCTGGTGGGAAGGCCTTTTACTAATTCAAGAAATCTGCCTCCTCTGGGCCTGGTTTTCCCAACATCCCCTGAATGTGTGGAAGCAACAAAACCCCAGGCATGCGTGATGTTAAATTGTACACAAGTTTAAAAAAAAAAAAAAGAAAGAAAAAAAAAGGAATTGAACAGTATTAGAGTTCAATAACACGTGTTTGTTCATCATCTTGCCCACGTTTCACATCAAGTAACGACTCGGTTCCACGATTGAAAAAAACAAAACAAAAATATTTGGAAAAAATATATATATATACATGTTTATTCATTTATTTATTTATTTTACCATAATTTAAAATGGTAATGACAGGTTTGTACAGGCTAACCTAACCCTCCCCAGGGCCCAGGCCTGGTAATCCTGCCTGTTTCCCCGGGGGTGGGCTTCCCAGAGCCCAGGGGTGGCTGAGGCCCACCCCGCAGGCTGACTCAGCACCCAGAAGCCCTGAGCGCACCCAGCCGGCCCCGCAGGGCATGGGCCGCCCGGCCTGAGCCCGCAGGGTCAGACACCGGGGCCTGAGCCCCGCGCACCCCGCCCGCAGGCGGCCGCCCCACCCCGCTCCCGCCCCACCAGGCCACCCCCCAATTTTACTCCCCCAGGGCCAGCCGGCCGGGAGCCCGGGGGTGCACAGGCGCCCCGCCGCCACCCCGCGGCGCTGGTCCCGGGGCCGCCGGGGAGACGCCCTCTCCGCCTCCGCCCTTGACCTCGGGACCTCCGGACGCGCGGTCCCGACCCGGAGCTGACCCGCCCGCGACTCTCCTGCCAATCAAACACGGCTTTCCGCCGGACGCCAGCCGGCCAATCAGCGCGCGCGGTGCACTCTTCGGCCCTTCGGCTCGTCGCCCTTTGCCCCTTCGGCCCTTCGGCTCATCGACCTTCGGCTCTTCGGCCCTTCGGCTCGTCGGAGTTCGTCCTGGCGGGGCCTTCCCGGGCCTTCCGTCGGCGCCGAAGCATAGTTCTCGTTGGTTTACGTTCCCCAGACACTTCCGGGTCCTGCGTCGCCCCGGAAGCCCGCGAGTTCCGGAAGCCCGGGCTGCCCAGGTTCTGCTAGGAAAAGCCAAGCTTCCGAGGAAATGTTTCCGAGGAAGTTCGGCGGAGCGGGGCGTGTCGCCGACTCCTAAGGTCAGTGTCCGCCGCCGAGGAGCCGCCGCCCGCCGTGCAGCCCGAGGCCAGCGGGGCGGCCCGCGGCGGCTGGGCCCCGCCTCGCCCTCGGCGCCCTTGGCCGGAGCCCCGGGTCCCTGGCTTCCTGCAAGAAGGCACATCGGAGTGTGATTTGGGGAAAGACGAGAAGCAAATAGGGTCGCACCATTTGGAGGTGACTTCCCACCGCCTTCTGCATCTCTGCCCCGAGCTCGGCGGAGCCCCGGGGTCCCTCCCCCGAGAACGGGACCTGGGCTCGGGCGCCCACACTTCCCTTCCTAGGTGGCTCCTGCAAAGTGTTGCATTTGGTACCGAAAAAGAAAAAAGCATGTGCTGAAATGTCCAACATTTTTAAAAGCCTGTGCACTTAAAAGCAGTTTTCATGTTCTTGTGGAGGAAGAGTTCCTGAGAATGGTCCAGTAGAATTACTTGCGATGAGTTTGTTATACTTAATCATTGATTTCTGATAAGAAATGTGAGCATCGCGTTATCATTTTTCGTCCAGGGCCTGAAGTTCAAAGTTATTGTTGGTGCAGTGTTTTTGTTTTGTTTTGTGTTTTTTGTTTTGTTTTGTTTTTTTAGGTTCCATTTTCCAGAAATACAACGTTTTGTGATTGAAAGTGGTGTGGGGTTTTGTTTGTTTGTTTGTTTTTTTGCAGAATAAGACTAATGGTTGAGCGCTCAGGTCTAACATGGCCTAGCTAGTATTCCATGATGGCCTTGGAAATATGTGTGTGTTTTTTACCATAATTTAAAACCAGCCCGGAAAGCATGGCTCAGTGGTTGAACAGTGACCTATGAACTAGGCCTTGGGGTTTGATTCCTGGCCAGGCACCTGCCCAGGTTATAGGCTCCATCCCCAGAGTGGGGCATGCAGGAGGCAGCTGATCATTGATTCTCTCTCATCATTGATGTTTGTCTCTCCCTGTCCCTTCCTCTCTGAAATCAATACAAATATATATTTTTAAAACAGTAAATAAAAATAAAAGCCATTATGGGGAGACTGAGGCTCCATCCACATCACTGTTTGTAGTCTAGACACCTTCCCATAATGTGTTTACCTTTAGTTAAACCTGGACAGAATAAACAGGATGGCAGACTTTGCGGTTTTCGCTTTTCAGTTTATGTTCTCTCTGATCTCACCCATATTATGAATTACTGTATCTAGAAAAAATTGAAGTTGTATGTGCTTGGGACAGAAGCAGATTTGAAAGAAAGTCAAAAGAAATAATTTCTGTTTATTTTTCTTTTAAAAAGGGGTTGGGGGAGGAGGGGGTGGATAGAAGTAACACAAGTTAGTAAAGAGAAAGCTGCATTAAGTCAAGAAAATTGAGTTCCAGACCTGACTGATTTTCTTATGACCTGCTCTACCTCTTGGCCTTATTTTCCCCATTTTTAGGAATTAGGGGTAGCACTCCACCTGTGGTTTTGTAACTTTCACAGGAGAACTGTGGAAATTGCTTAGAGCTTTCTGGGGAGAGACAAAGCAAGCAGATTCTCCGCAGCTATTTTACATGCATTTTCTGGAAAAACAGGGTTTCTGTTAAGAAAATTTCATAGCATTTAAATTCTGTTTCCAGCGCCGAAACTGGTTTGGCTCAGTGGTAGAGCCTCGGACTGGGGACTGAGAGGTCCCGGGTTCGATTCTGGTCAAGGGCATGTACCTTGGTTGCGGGCACATCCCCGGTAAGGGGTGTGCAAGAGGCAGCTGATCAATGACTCTCTCTCATCGATGTTTCTAACTCTCTCTATCCCTCTCTCTTCCTCTCTGTAATAAATCAATAAAATATATATTTTTTAAAATAAATTCTGTTTCTCAAGATAGTATTCATTTGTATTCAATGTGCATTTATGTATTAGTTGTTGTTTTTTAATGAAAGAATCATGTTCACAGTTAATTCATTACTAATAGCCACAAACATGTCCCATATTCTATCTCACTTGTTTCATAAATTCTTTCTTTATGATCAGAATCACAATTCTTTATTTTTCTTTCTTCTCCCTACCCTTTTATGTCAGCCACACAATTTTTACTTATATCCAGAGCTTGTAATCATCTTTGCAGTAGGAAAGCAGGTACTTTCCATTTGACATGCTCGGTGGCTGAACCTTACAGATGTTAGCAGTCTCACCCAGCCTCACACTGCTAGTCAAGTTCTTAGTCCTAACCTCCCCTTTTTTCTCACAGCATCACATGGCTCTAAAGTTTCTCTCTCTCTTATACTCCGCGGTGTGCAGGCTACTGTATGCCGTATGCACAATCTTTGTTTCTGGACAGAAGTTCCACTCTGAGCCACTTGGCTCCCTTTTGATTACCTGGGTTGGGCAGCCTAGAAGCAAATTGGATGTCCCCTTTATCTCTTCCCTGTGAAACGACAGCCGTTTCTAAACATCCATGTTCCTCTGGGTTCCTTCAGCCTGGGAGGAACCTCAGGAGGGAAGCCTTGGCTGCTCCTCCTGCCCCGGGCGTGTACTCTGGGCGCCGCGATGCCAGAGCTGTGCCTCTATAGGAGCCAGAGGCCAGGGGAGGACCAATGGCATCCCCGTCCTCCCCACTGTGGGCTGTGACCACTTCTTCCAGCCTCTCCCTCTACACAGCCAGCCGCCCGCTTCTATGTTTGTACTCTCTGTAGTAGGTTTGCTTTTTATCAGAGCGCCCCCTGCCCCCTTCTTACCTGCCTGTCAGAAAGGTGAAATGAATTTCATCCAGGTGTCTTTTTTCTTCTTCTTCCTGTGAAAACATAAAAACCAAGAGCCCCAGAGCCAGTCTGCTTTGATTATGCCGAACCATGGCCTCCCTCTGCTTTGGGTGCAGCCCGTGTTGACAATCGCTAAGTGAATGTTCACACCTCATTGTGCAGATGTGCAGTGAGTCTCTGAACAGTGCCCTGACCACATGTGTAGGGATAGAGAGGGATTGTGGATGGCAAGCATCCCAGGCAACATAGGTACCTCAGCCATGTTCTGTCATTTCTCGCCCCATTCCCGGGACCTGAGAGAAGAAATGAGCTCTGCGGCGTTGGATTTGATCCAAGCTTGCCCGGTGTCCCCACCACTCACTGCCTTTTGTGTGTCCCGTACTTTCTCTCGTGTTCACCAGACATTTACTCATTGCCAACTTGGCCTTGCGCAGGTGAGTTAGTCTCCTCAAGGCTTCATCTTGGTCTTTGTGAAATGGAACGATGATCTTTTCTTTTGTGAAAGTTCAGTGAGGTGAAGCGTGCAGAGAAAACCCTATGTGTCCTTTGGCACTTGCTCCTGTTACGTTGCAAACATCTCTGTTCCCGTGTGGATAGTTCCACATTCTCTCCAGGGCGTAAAATGTGCAAATGCGTATTCCAGAAATGTTAAGTCATTTCGACATCTCTTCGTAGTAGGCAGTTCGGTCCTAGGCCCTGTTCTACACGCCAGTGCTTCAACATCTGGCTGCTTCCTGTTTCATGAGGCGCATTGGCCCCCCCTTGGGTTGGCATTTCCCGGTAGTTGCAGCCCCATGGGCATGCCCAGTGGTGCCCTCCTGCGGTGCCATGTTCACCTTTTTGACTGTTCATGTTTTTCAAGCCCCTCACCACTTGTCAGTGCAGTGCATGGGTTCAGAACGTGGCTGAGTTATTGTAGCTGTGATTTCACACCGGTCAGCTACTAATCTCTGTGCCTCCGTTTCCTTGTTTTAAAACCGGAATAATGAAAGCTCTTTCCTCATAGTGTAAAGATTAAAGGACTCGCTGCTTACACTTGCAAAGTGCACGTGGCTGCCATAGTCATTGCCAGCCTCAGCCCCCGGTCAGCGGCGCACGTTCACTGCAGGTGTACGCTCATGGCCGGTGGGTTTGGTTTTGCTGTTCCTTCCACTAGGAGTGTTTCTCTGTCTCGCGTCTTCTGTTCTGATTTCTCCACTCGCGCTAGCCTTTTCCAGACTCGTGTTCAGCATTTCCATTTCTGCAGTTGGAAAGGACTGTTCTTTCATTCTTTTTCTTCCTCTTCTATGGTTTAGTTCCCATAAGGATTCTAGGTAGGTGAAATTTCTGTAGTTGCTGACCTTTTTAACTGCTGAAAAGTGTCCTGTGGTGTAATGACTTGTCCAGGGTCACACAGCCTGAGGGTGGACCTGGGCTGGGCCAGAGAGCTGGTTAGAATCCCCCTTATTCACTCACACATCCACCCTCTGTTTTCACACTGTGCTCTCTCCTCAGGACTCAGGAGCATCAACATTCTGAAGAAAAGATCATGAGTGCCATGCTCTTCTCTGAAAAATGTCTTTGTGAAGCTGGCCTCAGGGTATTGGGGATTCTGTTTTAAGGTTTAAAAAAGTATTTTGTGTTAGCTTTAGATACTTGCGTAAATATACTGTAAATGAAATAGGTAAGATGCTCAACTCTGTAACACTGATTATGGTCTCGAAGACTATAGTATTTGAGTTGAGTACCTTCTCTCCAAATAAAGAAGGAAAAAAAAAAAAAAAATATATATATATATATATATATACACACACACACACACACACACACACACACACATATATATTTCCCCTCTGCTAGGACAAAGTACTTATCAATGTTCATTTGTTTGAGAAATTTATAATATTTTGAAGTTTTCCTTCAAATGTATTCTAAAAACATTTTGTTGTGTACCCATTACCACTCCAGAAGTTTTTTTATTTGGATTTCGTTGAGGACTGCCTTTAAGTTAAAAGTGACCTGGAGGACTGGTGTCCATAACAGAATGTTTTCAGTCCTTCGCGTCTTGTCTGCATCCAGACCAGCATGGTTGGGATATCTATAAACTACGGAGACGCGGCTTGTACTTGATGAAAGAGCAACAAAAGAGGAGTGACAAGTCACTTAGCAAGTCTGCGGCCACAGTGGGATTTGAACTTTCTAGGCCTGTTCACAGTGTCGAGTCACGGTGTTCTGATGGCCTCGGCCCTAGCTTTTTCTCTCCTGCTCGTGTTTGAAGTGTGTTCTGGGAATCCATGTCCTGTT